TTCACATAAGGTGGTATTAAAAAGGTCTTAAAAAGTCTTAAATTTAACTTGTTCATATCTGTAGACACCCTGTAACGTCATTTAAAAAGTCCTCCTAACATTGAATAGGTTTTCTTTTCAAACTAAGATGACAGAAAACTCAAAAGTGTACAGGGGTGTCAGTCCCTCTACAGTACTCACAGTTCTTTCAGCGCTCAACGTTGATAGGAGTGTACTCTGTGAGCTCTACTGGGTCACTGTGTGTGTGAGCTGCTGTGGATGCTGTTTTAACATGGACTACAGCAGAATACATCACGTCGTCCTGGAGAAAGAGAGGAAAAGATGGGGTTAGTGCACACACAGCATCGCATCAATACGTTATGTAATCAACAGTAAAGGTAAGTTTGTTTTCACCTGATTGTCTTGTTCTCTCTTTAGCTCTCCATCATCAGTGGTCACTTTTTTATCATTTCTGCCTCCTGCAACATTAGAGACACCAGTCTAATCACTAAATATGTTTTCAACATTTATTTGGTTTTGTACCTATTATTCTATGTGTTTCGAGAGTACAGCTACATTAGCTGGTCATTTACAAGTAATTTATGAGTATTTCGGTAGTTATTAGTTATCAGAAGTGTGATTGTGTGTGTTCATTTACCTCTGCATCTCCATAATATACAGGTGCATCTCAATAAATTAGAATGTCGTGGAAAAGTTCATTTATTTCAGTAATTCAACTCACTCCATGCCACGCCGAATTGAGGCAGTAATTAAAGCAAAAGGAGCCCCTACCAAGTATTGAGTACATGTACAGTAAATGAACATACTTTCCAGAAGGCCAACAATTCACTAAAAATGTTTTTTTATTGGTCTTATGAAGTATTCTAATTTGTTGAGATAGTGAATTGGTGGGTTTTTGTTAAATGTGAGCCAAAACCATCACAATTAAAAGAACCAAAGACTTAAACTACTTCAGTCTGTGTGCATTGGATTTATTTAATACACGAGTTTCACAATTTGAGTTGAATTACTGAAATAAATGAACTTTTCCACGACATTCTAATTTATTGAGATGCACCTGTAAATGCCAGTAGAAGCACTGAGAAAAACACTCTCAGAATGAAAACATCTGTGGAGAAACAGAAATGGCTTGATAAATGCTTCTTTTTTTTCTCAAATGTAGTACAAATATGCATAAATCTCTCAGTATGAGCTCATAAAAGCTCCATGCATGCATTTTTAAAAATGTAATACAAACACTTGACAATGAGAAAACACATTAAAACCATTGTTGTATAATAAAAAGCAACACCTGTGACTTACATTGAGATATATGTTGTTGAGTCGGTTTAAGTTGTGAAGCTGTGGAGTCTTGTGTTTGGTGTGAAGCTTGATGTGTCGTTAAAGTGATTGTGTTGACATGAGGTTTTTCTGTTCAGAAGCCAATAAGTGTAAGTGATAATACAAAACACAAAAAATCTATAAGTCTGCAAGTTGACATCATTCTTCTAAATATTTAGATTCTTTGTAGAACAAAATAAATAGTAACGGTGATCTGACAACAGAAATGGAAGAAAACTACCTTCAACATGAAGTACAGTAAGTCTGCTGAGACGAGACACACTGATAGTGCCCACGGTCCTCTGTGGCCAGTGCTGATATGTGTAGAGAAAGATTTCCTGGAGTGTTTGGATTTAACAGTTTGACTATGTTCTTGTTATTCTCAATCTGTTCTTTTGGGTAAATGTCTCTAAAATTATTCTTTATCAAATAAATCCATTGTATCTGTTCAGGTTTAGCCAGTAGTTCAGTGCAGGAACAGGGCAGAACCACAGCCTCTCCTGAATATCCAGTCACTGCAAATGTCTTTCTGTTCTCAACCAAATCACACCCTGAAAACATTATACAAATTATTTTCAAATATTTCAGATTAAACTGCAGTAAAAATGCTGTCCTAAAATAATGTCAGGATAATATTTAATAAATACAGTTGCAATCAAAAAAGCATTGTTGTAAGTACAAGAGAAAATCAAAAGTGGATGCGACATTTAAATATATTATGTCTGTCACCTGCTCCAAATTTCCCCTTACCTTTAACTTTTAAGTCAACATGTTTATTTGGCTATTTGATTCGGTTATACAGCTATAGTAGCCCTGGTCATTCATTCTGAGGTCAGAAATGAGAAGATACAGATTTGTTGGAGAATGTTCATTAAACAGCACACGTCTGCCGCTGTATTTCTCATCTTGAAATACTTGGATCCATTGAATTCCCTGCTCAAACTCCCAGGTGAATGCTGTGACTGTAGACTGAGGGTCAGCACAGAAGCAGGGCAGCACAACTGAACCACCTGTGTATCCTGTTATTACTATTGTCTGCTGCACATCTGAAACAATACAGCCTGCAAACAAAAAAGTTTATGCATTCAAATGAGCTTTACTGGAATATATAATAACCAAGAAGAATAAAAACTGAAAAGATCCATTCAGGTTTTTTTTTAATTGTACATATATTGTGATCAGAAGTATTTAGGGGTCCAAGCATCATTTAAACATTAATAGTGTTTAATGAACAGTGACAATGTTACTCAAATCTAATCAGATTCTGGTTATTATTATTATTACTATGATTATTATTGTTATTATTATGCACAAATACTATTTTAATTAGTTTGCACTACTTCCCTATTTCAAACACAGAGCCACCCTTTTGACTAATCACAAAACACCATACCCTTCAGATCATGATGCATTTAAATTTAAATGTCTCTCAAATCGTCTAATAATTCAAAACTATGCAGATGTGAACAGACACAGTATGTAGTTTGTAGAAAAATCATAATTTTAATCATCCATTCCTGCCATCAAGCGTCAATGAATTGTTATTATCATTATTATTATTATTATTATTTTACTGTTTTAAACCAGATCTATATTCATTGCTCACTGATCTCACATTGAGTTCCCTTAACCCTCAATCATCCTTCGGGACAAATTTGGGCAAAATAATTTTGTTTTATTTTTTAAAAATAGTTTCCTTAATCTGAGCGGTTCAAGACTTGGCTACTTTTCGTAAGTTTGCCACCTGAACACACACACAAAAAAGAGGACTCAATTCAACAATGTTAAGTGGTTGAAAAAAAACAACAACTCCTTAATTTGACCTTTGTGCCCAAAAATGGGCACCCATAGGAAATGAATGGGAAATACCAAAATTCAAAGCATTTTTTTTTATTTGTCCAATAAAAATCAATAAATGCAACAATGCAGATCAAATGAAGGTTTGAGCCTATACAACATTCTCAATGTGTCAAACTCACTCACTCACTCACTCACTCACACACACACACACACACACACACACAAAGCCATTGAGTACTACAGCCAAATAGTGGCATTGAAATGTTTGATATTTTTATTCCATCATATGTCACCAGATGGCACCAAAGTCACCAAATTTTTAGTCTGGTGACATATGATGGAATAAAATATATATGTATATTAAAAATTGTTCATTTTTTTCTGTACTAACGCCCTACACACGCTTCCGTTTCACCAGTAGGCCTATCTGCAAAATGTAAATAAAGATAAAGAGTCAGATAGTCCCCCTCCAGTTCAGGGAGAACAAAACAGACCTAGGCAAGGCCTATGTGAGATTTCTTCATATTAACATACAGTGCTCATTAAATCTTGTATAACGTGTTTAACTTATTTTGTGAAACTCGTTTGAAACCTGTACCACTTCAGTACAAACCTCAAACTCACTTCCTAGTTCCTACGCCCTTGTTTCGCTTGTGAAGAAATCGCAGAGTCGCTAGGCTCGCACCTCAGAAACTCCGTGTGGACTGGGGAATAGTTACTTATATATTATGAAGAAGTAAAAGTTTTTGAAAATCTCCCAATGTAAAATGATCTCAAAATGGTAATCTTTATATGAATAATCACACATGTTACATCTACAGTATCATGAGGCACAGCAATGAATTGGTTACCGTAGAAACCTCAAGCCTGCTATCCAACCACATGACTAAAGTTTCGCTTTTCATTTGACCATCACACATAGAACGCAGTACTGGTATATATAATGTTCACTCTGTCCCTGGAATCATAAAGGAGTTTTTTTTTTTTAAATCCACAGAACCAGGTCGAGAAGATGCAGAGAACAACCACGCAGAAAATCCAGGAGAAACAGAAAACAATAGAGGAGCTGAAACAGGTTGTGAACACACTGAAGGTGAGAGATGATCATTTTCTTTTGCACTCATTTAAGTGCACTAGAGTTCTAAAGTTAAAGGTCAGTAAGATTTTTGAAAGAAATTAATATTTTTTTATTCAACATTCAATTAAACTGGTGGCAGTAAAGACATTTGTTACAAAAAAATATATATATATTTTTTGCATTCTTTTCCCTTTCTATGCATTCTTTTTACTTTCTATTCAAATTTTTTAAATCCTGAAAAATGCATCATGGTTTTCACAAAAATACTAAGCACAACTGTTTTCAACGTGTTATTGATAATGATAATAATATAAGAACTGTTTCTTGAGCACCAAGAATGATTTCTGAAGGATCATGTGACACTGATGAACATTGATGTGACACACTACCTAATTACGGAGGACGAAACCTGCAAAAACAATAAATATATAAATGCACAAATAAATAAATAATTAAATGTGTGCATAAATACACGTATTCTTGTTTAAATACATTAATAAATAATTATACATGTGATGAAAGTAGGCAAATAAATAATATAAATTGGTGGGCAAATGGAAAATGTTTAAGGAAATGCTAAACTCATCCTATTTATTTTCCTTTGATTACTCATTTATTTCTGAATGTAGTTCCGCATTTATTTTTCCTCTGCGCGACATGCTAATGAGAGGGTGTCAATTATGCAAGAGTAGGCGGATAGTGTGGGACGCGCTTGAGCGTTTGCCTGCGCATGCGTATTAACTTCTATTTGCCTACTTTAATCACATATTTAAGTATTTCTATATGTATTTAAACAAGAATTTGTGTATTTATACACGCATTTATTTATTTATTTGCATATTTATTTATTTATTTGTGTATTTATTTATTTATTGTTTTTGCAGGTTTCGTCCTCCATACCTAATGGCTGCTGAAAATTCAGCTTTGCCAACATAGTATTGGATTACATTTTTAAACATATTGAAATAGGAAATAGTCATTTTAAATTATAATAATTTTTCACAATATTATTGTTTTTACTGTATTTTTAATCAAATAAACGCAGCCTTGGTGAACATAACAGAACTACTGACTCCAAAGTAGTGTATTTTGTATCTAGTCATAGTGTTTGTTGGAGAATTAAAAGCATCAGAAATAAAAATTCACCCTTTACTCTTTACCTCATGTCATTCTAAACCTGAATGACTTTCTTTCTTCTGTGCAACATAAAGATCTTTTGTATGATGCGCTTGTTGCCCTTTTTTATATGCAATTACAATGAATGATGACAAAAGATCCTCATAAAAGTATCATAAAAGCAGTTCTAAAGTCAGCTAGTAAATCTAAGTTTGGCTGATCCAGTTTAAACTGGACTACTTTTTTCTCCTCACAGCACTCTGCTCAGGCAGCAGTGGAGCACAATGAGAAGATCTTCACTGAGCTCATCCTCTCTATTCAGAAAAGACAGCATGAGGTGACACAGCTGATCAGAGATCAGGAGAGGACTGAAGTGAGTCGAGCTGAAGGACTCCTGGAGCAGCTGGAACAGGAGATCGCTGATCTCCAGAGGAGAGACACAGAGCTGGATCAACATCCACACACAGAGCAACATTTTGCTTTCAAGGTAAAGCCACAGGTTGCCTGAGGCATTTTCTCTGGTTCAGTGCAAAACATTATTTTATGTTTTTCTCAATATAAACTTTTCAGAATCTCTCTGATTCTTCTGAATCGGAGCAGTCATCCAGTATGACTGTTAATCATATTCTATTTGATGGACTGAGGAAATCTCTCTCTGATTTAAAACAACATTTTGAAGATTTTTGTCAGGAGGAGATTAGTAATATCATCTCTGTTGATAAGAGACTCCTTTAAATCATTTTCACTCTCAAAAGTTTTTTTCTTTGTTACTTTTTATCTTAAGTAACTAGTAAATAAACAGATATTTTATTTTATTTTATTTTATTTTGCAGTACATATAGCATGCAATCTACAGTATTAAACTTTACTTGCAATGGCACTTTCTGTTCTTCTATAGTGGCAAGAATTCAGATTTTAACATTAACCAGAATCAGGAATCACTTTAAACAATGTAAGTTAAAAAAACAACAACAACAACAACAAAACACCTTTATGTGACTCTGTATGTACTTTGTGTACCATATATGTGCAATATTTAAAAAATTTTGAATTTACAAAATTTCAAAACAACTGATTTTTTTTCAATTGTCGGCAATAACTGACAATAACAATCACATGATTTATAAATAATTTTCCTTAGATTTTTGTAGCTTTACCCTTGATCCCAACACAGCGATTGAACACCTCGTCCTCACTGAGAACAACAGACAGATGACATACACTGGGCATTTAGGGATTTATAGGTTCCCCTGCAAGGTGTTTTGCAAGGAGAGTGTGTTTGGACGCTGCTATTGGGAGGTGGAGTGGAATGGGAGATGTGTGCATATATCAGTCTCATATAAAGAAACGAGTGGCAGAGGAAAGGGATTAGTTGGTATGTTTGGAAACAACAACACATCTTGGAGTCTGCAGTGTTTTCCCAAGCCTGTTATCTGGCATAAGAGCATTAAAACAGAGATCTCAAGACCTCTGTCCTCTAGGGTGGGTGTGTTTGTGGACTACAATGCAGGAACTCTGTCTTTCTACAGTGTCTCTGATACAGTGACCCTCTTACACCACGTCCAGACCACATTCACTCAACCCCTGTATCCTGGGTTTTGGTTCAGTGCATGAGGTTCTGGAGATCTGCTCAATCTAGACAATTCTGGGTCAAACACCAATGTGTTCTCCTCAGTGAAATTATGTGATCCATAAACAAGTTTTGTGATCCCCTTATTTAAATTCAGCATTGCGTATATATAAATATTAACATACACAATGTTATCACATATTTTTTAAAAAGTAGTATGACAGGAATTATTATATTTTGAAAATGAAAATATGTTTGTGTTTGTAAAACAAAACATTTAGAAATGTTATAGCCTGTTTTTTCCCTCTAAACTAAAAAAGTTTTTTTTTTCCTTTCTGTTGACCTTAAAGGGGTCATATGATGCAATTTCAAATTTTCCTTTCTCTTTGGAGTGTTACAAGATTGAAGGTGGGAGAGAGCGCTGTACATTCACTCCCCCCACCTACAATCCCTGCCAGTACGAGACTCAAACCCGCAACCTTTGGGTTACGAGTCCGATTCTCTAACCATTAGGCCACGACTTGTCCACGCCCTCCTAAAACACCTCGTTCAAACACACCCCCACATGTCTACGTCACGATGTGGGAAGATTTGCATAACGCCACCCAAATGTTCACGCAAAGAAAGAAGGCATAACTTTTATTCTCGCTGTAGTATTGTTGTTGCCGTGGCGCTGTGTGTTTCATTGTGAAAGTAAAACTACCCTTCCAAAAGAGGACGATATCCGCTTCGTCATGCCTAGAGCT